AGCCGGCGCTCCTTGCGCGCCGCCCGCCGCGCGCTCGTCTGCTCGCTGCTGCGCGCCAGGAAGGCTTCCTGGCGCGCCGAAGTATGGAGGCGGGGGGGCATACGCGCGCCCGTGGCCATGCACGTCATGAGCACGTCGTCGACGGCAAAGGCGGCGCGCTTCTTGGCCGCCGCCGTCGGCGAGCCGCCGTCGGTCTTCTTGAGGCAGCTGCGCGTGTTGATCTTGGTGCTCTCTAGCGTGAGCGACAGCATCGGGAGGCTCGAGCTGGACGAGTCCCGCTGCGCAGCAGAGAAGCTGCTGGACGCGTTGTCGCTGCTGTAGCCGGGGCTGGTGTCGGGGCTGGTGTTGGCTGCGTTGCGCGTGGCTGCCGTGGTCGGGGCGGGCACGTCGGTGAGGGCGGCTATTTTGCTTTGGGCCCAGTTCTGTACGCGGGAGGGTATTTTTGTTGATTTCGAAGCGAAGATGCGGGTGGCAACCAGTTTTTTGAAGCCGTTGATACTCATTTTATCGGTTGTGGGCTGGTTCGAGCTGTTGGTATCCGAGCGGGCGAGGCCAGTTTCTGAAGTCATGGTGGTTTTGAAGAGAGAAAGTATTTCTTATCAGTGATAGTAGGGCGGTAAGGGAATTCAACTTCAGAGTAGAGATAATCTCTGCAAAAAATAGGACAGTTGCGTGTATAGATGGGTAGCAAGTTGTGAGTGCGTGGGTGGGAACTGTTTGATGATTAACGAGTTGGGAAACGTGGAATTTTATATCATCTGGGGAAAGGCGTTCCAAGACGTCTGCCTTTATTATAGTTTGCGTCTGTTAGAGTTCGCATTTTGGGGAAATATTCGTGGGCTGCAAGTAGATGTACATGATGTACATGACGACGAAGGGACCACGGTGGTAGACTGGCGACGGCGTGGTCTAAGTCTGCGCCGGCGGCCTTGGGCAAGCTTTTCTGCGCTTGTTGACCACTTGACGGCCAATAAAAATATTCTAAGCGTCTAAAGCGTCAACTAAAACCACACCTTGCCTATTCTTTTACTAAATTAGGCAAGTAGCTCGCCACCCGCCTTCGATGGTGGACAGCAGTCGCTCATCATCACCAAGAAAACACAGTTTGCATCCTGAGGAAGGAAAGCGAAACTCGTAGCTTTTCAATTGAAAACCTAGTCGGCTCAGATCACTGACCAACAATGATTACGTTGACGTATTTATTGACTTTACAATGTACAAGTCGTGCGGCCCACGGCATCTCCACACGGCGCGGCGCCAGCCGAAGCTAGGAGGCGCGGGTGAGAACCTTCAATCTCAAGGCTAAGGGTCGAATACGATGGCACTTAGGAGGGTGTGGATTTTTTCTTTCTTTCTTTCCTTCTTTCGCTTTTCGCGCCGTTTAACGGCTATTCACATTTTAAATATATTTTCTTCACCTTTCTTTTCTTTCTTTTCGCCTTTACCTGCCTGCTCTCTACAGCATTCTCCCTTGTTGCCAGCAGTCCAGCACCAACCAAATTAAACACCCAGTCTTTGCATTGTATCATGTAATTTCCTGCATTCATACATTAGCAGCCTTTGTCGTGGCCACGGGCCGCACCTGCTGCCTCAGTTGCCACTCATGATTTGAATCAGTC